GGGGGGGGGGGGGGTAAAGAACTCAAGAATGCGTTCTATATATTAAAAAAAATGTGAAAAATCTCCCTTTTTTTTATTTTTATTTTTATTTTTTAAGTGGGATACCAAACTGGCTCTTTCGATGAGATGCACTGCTTTTACCATAAGGATGTTGTAACATGGAATGGAATATAGATGAGCGTGGCTAACTGATTTGAATACGCTGCATGACTCTGGCCACTTTCTTTTGGGGTCACGTAAAATTAAAAAAGTTTCTTTGTATTGCAGGTTTCACATTTCGTTCCTAAAGAGCCGGACGAGCAATCAACTCTTCGTGAGGTAATGATGATGATGTTAGTTTGGTTCTCATCTCTACTCTTTGTTGGCGGATTGTATTTTTTATACATAATATATAATTTTGCATGCAGGTGGCTGACTCGTACATTATGGACGACAGAGTAGGATTCGCTGAGCCTGTGCATGGAGTTGAACTTTACTTTTGCCCACCTCATAAGAAAACAGTTGAAATGCTCAGCAACATACTTCCAAAGGAACAAATTGAGGCAGTTAATTCTATTGATAATGGCCTAATTGGTATTATTGTATGGAGAAAAACTAATTTAACTTCGTCTATATCACCCACCACTGCATCACACCACAAACATAGCTCTAAAAGACAATACTTCAGTAGGAGACCGCTAGATATAAATGTGAATACCAATTCCAATTCCACCCACATAGCAGTTAAGACCACCGAGAATGATGATGATGATGATGTTCCTCCTGGATTTGGGCCGCCAGCAGCCCGAGTCGAGGATGATCTCCCAGAGTTTAATTTCTCTGGTGGTTCGAAACCGTCACACTTGGTTCAAAAACCAATGGGGTCACCTGGTATGGTCCCATTGCACTCGGTTAACCAGGCCCCACCACGCCCTGTTGAGCAAATGAGAGAACTTGTACACAAATATGGGCAAACCAAACCAAGTGTACCTTCAGCAAACTGGCAGGATAAATTTGGGGGAACAATTCAACCCTGGAATGACGATGATGATGACATACCTGAATGGCAGCCCCAAAACCAAACCCAAACCCCCCAGAATCAGTTTCCTCCCCAACAGACAATGCACAACTTTCATCTTCGACCTCACATTTTGAATCAATCATTTCCGGGTTCACCACAACATCCAATTATGCCAACACAATATCTGCAACCCCCTATGAATGTGACACAAGGCCAACGAAGTTTTGACCCACAGTGGGTTCCCTCTCCCCAGGGTAGCAACCTACAGCCAAGAGGTGGACCACCATATGGAGCGCCTGCGCAAGGCACTACCTGGCCTCAACATTCGTCTAGAAGTAGGGGATACTAGTTTAGTTCTCTCTTTATTCAATTTTTTTATTTGTAGCATGTAAGATTATTGTAAGGTGTCCAGCTGTTTTTTTTTCCTCTCCTGTATCAGCATCAATACCTCGTAGTAGATCAAACGAATGACCATTTTTCTCCTGTTTTAGTTTGTCAACTGTAGGTGTTTCGCCGAATAAATGCGAGGGGGCAAAACAATTTTGCATGCTATAGTTTTAAATTTTTATGCCGTTTCCGTAACTTAGGCTGTTTTATATGACGCAACGTGCAAGCTGATTGCTCCCAGTCAGCTTTAGCTAGTAAAGTAAGGAGTCTATGTAATACTCATCGTGTCTAACATGTAACCCGTTCGTTATATAAAGCGTTTTCTAAAGAGTTATGCTATTCTGAAAAAATAATCGCACGAATACATGTGCACGTTTTAAAAACTCGTGGTTACCGGAAATAACGGAAAATGGTTAGTATATCCTTTCGGCTTATTTTTTGGGGTACGAATCGGTACTACCCTCAATAAACAAGAAAAACTTAACGACGTTCTAGAAAATTAGTATCGCCAGAGATTCCATGTATCTGAACGAATCCATATGTACCCTTGCTGCGATTTTGGAGATGCCCGAATTTTAAATTTGCAATAACGCTAAAGAAAAGACAAAGGAAACTACAACATTGTATTTTTACAACCCAAAAAGCTTTGGTACAACATGTATGAACACATTTCCTTTCGATTGTTATGTGCAGTTTAGGACCTATTGTATTTACGTCTATAGCAAAGAATGCAAAGGAGGACCCATATAAAAAGCAGTGAAGAATTAGTACAAATGGCTTCTGAAAAACACACGAGACATTGAAAAGAGTGTCAAGGTGGCAGTACTCGCTTGAGTTCTGCTCGTTGCTCTGGGGTCAACATTGTAGGGAACTTTACATCAAACTTGATCCTCAAATCACCCCTCTGACCTGGCTCCTTTGTTATTGGCATCCCTTCATTTTCAACAGTCATCTCATAGCCAGGGCTCACAATTTTAGTGACTTGAATATTCAAACTACGTCCATCAAGCGCAGTGATATCTACTGTGGTCCCTCCAATGGCCTCTGCCAGAGATACCCTTTTGCTCACAATCAGGTCATTCCCATCTCTCTTGAACAAATCATGAGGCTTTTCATCAATCACAAATATCAGGTCTGCTGCCACTTCATTCGGTTTCTGATTCCCTTTCTCTGGGAATGTTATCTTTGTCCCTTTCTTCCAACCCGGCTTCACATCAATGCTTAATATCTCTGATTCCTGAATTGGCCGTCTGCAATTTTCCCCATTTCACAATGATTACATAATACCTCTAAAATGCATCTCATGACCATGGAAAACATGCATTCATCATTCTAAGATAACAATCACGACTATGGTCACCCAATGTTTGAAATTGCACGTTTTGCTACCACACTTTTAACGTTTTACATATTTTATTATTTCGTTAGTTGATCATCTCATACGATATATTATGTCACGTCACGTGCTACTTCAACAATCAAATAACAGAATGACAATTAAACAATGGAATAATAAGACAATAAAATATATAATTTTAAAGTTTGGTGAAAAAATTTATGAAATCATGAAATCTGAGTAAAAAAAGGTGCAGTTAAGTCTCTAATTATAATTACAAAAGCCAATAAACATTAAGAAGCAAAAGCAAAGGCTAAGATGATTAACTATACTTACCCATGAGCATCCATGACAATCCTTGAGATCTTCATTTTCCTTGTGGATCCAGAGTATAGCTCCTCCAAAGTGCAAGAGAGTTTGGTCTCCACAGATGGTGCCTTTGGCATATGAGTCCTTCCTGTACTATATGATCGAAAATTATTGTCAAATCCACCAAATGTTGTATCTGAAGGGAATCTACTGGACCTCCCAGGCCCAGATGATCCAAATCCAAAAGGGCTACTTCCAAAGAATTCTGCAAAAATATCCTCTGCATTTCTGGGATTGAACCCACTTGGTGATGTTCCATTACCTGCTGGTGGCTTATTTTTCAGCCCTTCCTCTCCATGCTGATCATAAAACGCCCTTCTATGGGGATCACTCAGTACCTGAATTCACCAAAATTTCTCAAAACTTCTCACACTTTAACTGATATACTTTCTAACACACTCTCTACTTTATTATTGTATAAAGAAACTTCAGATGTGGAGCTCTTGAAAATAAAAATGAAACCCACATAAAAATTGTAATTTTAATTTCAATTAAAAAATAGTATGACAGTGTTGGTAGCATTTTCTTTATTACAATCGTAGGTGCCCATAATTGCTTGCATCAAGCCGACAAGTAATACTTCTGGATTATATTCTAGCATTATACAAAACAATATGAATTTGTTTTTCTTTTAGCATGATGTAGGTAAACGAAGTCAATCTCAATGTTGATGAAAAAACTGACTACCGAGTGCCATAAAGTTCCCTTTTCTTTTGAAAAAGTTCACATAAAATCACGCAATTTATGACCACACTTTGATGCAGAATCCACACAGAACAACCCTCATTGACCCTCAAAGTTAGTCATAAGAATAGAATCACCGATTCTCCATACACTATCATCATATATCCACATTCCTGAACCTAACTCTTTATAAAATGTTAATTGTTCTTTCTTTTCTCTTCTCTATTCCCACCAACCAAACTATTTCAGGTTTCATCAAATTCTAATAGCAAAACAGACATTGAAAAAAGAAAGAAAGAAAAAAACGATAGGAAAGGTTTTTTGCCTCGTAAGCCTCAGAGATCTGTTTGAATCTGGCTTCAGCTTCATTGCTGTTCTCGCGGTTCTTGTCAGGGTGCCATTTCATGGCTAATTTTCTATATGCTTTCTTCAGATCATCTTCCGTAGCATTTCTGTTAACCTTCAACACATTGTAGTAATCCAGACCCATTTTTTCTTTTCTAACAAACACTTGAATCATGCAATTGTTGTAACAAAACACAAAATCTTCAAATTTAGACAATTTTCATGGACACCCAATTACAAAATACAACCTTTCTTCCACCAAAGTTTAAAACTTGGTTGGACGGTCTGTTGAATATGATGAGGTGATCACATGAAAGTTGACAAGAAAAGAGAACAAGAATTGCTCAATCAAATCAAATGATTATGAATATTCTTTTCTTGTCTTTTCTTTTCAACAGACCAAGAACTCGTTGAAATTAAACAGAAAATCTTGGATGATAGAAAACGATGATTATAACCGTAACCGAGACTCACGGGAAATATTATACGTTAGTAATTAAACTCTAAAATTTGCCCCCAAAATATACTATTAATTGCGGAAAATGCATTACTCTAAAATATTATAATTATAATTATGTGGAATAACTTCCTACCTTTATTAAAAATAAAATAAATAAAAATAAATATTAATTTAATGTTATTTTTAAGATCTTGATTTTAATAAAAATTATTTTTTTTAAATTTTTTAAAATAAAAAATATAATAATCAATAAAAATATAGAGATCAATATGATTATTAAAAGATTTTTTTTATATATTAATATAGATGTTGATTATTATTAAAATAATTTATTTTTATAAAAATTTCTGTAAACAAAAGTTGTGAGACCCCTTTTTCCTTTTTATTTTTTTTCCTGTAAATTCTCCCTCTCTTTTCTCTTCCTCACTCACTCAAAACACTCTCTTTCTCACTTCTCATTTTCTCTCATCTTCTTTGTGGTGATCTTGGTGGCTGTAAGTGCTGATTGTGGTGTGGGAAGCTAGAGGAAGTCTCCTTCTCCGTTCTAAATTCTCCGCTCGTTCTTCTTCTCCATTTCTCTTCTCCTCCGCTGTCCCGAAGCTCAGATCCTTGCACCGAGGTAAGAGAAACTAGTTTTCTTGATGGCTGGATGCAAATGAGTGTAGCAACTCATGGATAGTTTGATGTTGAATGATTTTGGCTGAGATTGATGGCTGTTTTGGTGAAAATAAGTTTTCGGGGTTTTCGGGATGTTGGAGGAAAAATTTGGGTTTTTCTTGTTTGATGATTGCATGTGTGAAAAGATTATATTTTTGAACTCTTAGATGAAAATGTGAACTTTTGGCTGGTTTGCATGTGCTGGATGAGTAGATTTTTGCAGGTTTTGGGAAATTTTTTTGAACTTGGTGGGTTGCTGCTGAGCCTCGCGCTGAGCACCGTTTTTCGCGCCGTGCGCGAGACCACCTAGAGGCTCCTTTTAAGCAAGCCCGCCGGGCGTAAAGATGTGTGCGCCGGGCGAGCTTGAGATGGTGAGCCTCTGGATGGCCCATGCCGAGCGTGACATGGATCGCGCCGAGCGCGCTGGCAGTATGTGACATGTTTTGGGGTTATGATTCCACGCTGAGCGCGACCCTCTTCGCGCTGAGCGTGGGGACTCCTTGGGAGTCTCTGCCATGGGGGCGCTGGGCGCAATTTGAATTGCGCTGGGCGCGAGACCCTGGGAGGTCTCTGCCTTCCCCGCGCAGGACGCGGGTTAGGGCACGCCGGGCGCGCGAGACTCCTTAGAGTCTCTGCCTGGGCATGCGCTGGGCGCAATTTTGTATTGCGCCAGGCGCGTAAGAGCCTTGGGCTCTCTGGCTGGGTCACGCCGGGGCGGGCACTCTTGTGCCGAGCGCATTGACCACTAATACTCCCTGGTTGCGCCACGCCGGGCGCGACTATGAGTGCACTGGGCGCATAGGATGATGATGATTCATATGCTGATAGTTATTAAATTTTGCTGAAATTGTTAATATTGCCGTGCTGAGCTGAGTTGTTATTGATGATTTTAATGCTGAATTATGATATTGTTGTACTATAGAATGTTGAGCTGAGTTGTGAGTAGTAAGTTGTGTTGAATACTACTTAGTTGTGCTGTATGCTGAATTGCCGTGTTGTGTTGTGAGCTGTGTTAGCTGGGCTGTGAGTTGTTTGGCTGTGCTGTATATTGCTGAGCTGTATGTTGGTTATAACTGCTATGTCGGTGTCATTATAGCCACTATTGTGGTGCTGTTATAGCCGCTAAGACGGTGCTGTTATTGTTGCTATGCGGTGCTGTTATAACCATTAGAGTGGTGCTGTTATTGTTGCTATGCAGTACTGATATTGTCGCTTTGCGGTGCTGATATTACTGAATGTTGTGGTGTAGTATAAGCTGGCTGTTGTGCTGATAGCTGTAGCTATTTATCGTTCATATTGTTATATATGTATGTTGATTTGTTTTCACTAGCTTACCCTTTGTTGTTTCCGTGGTGTTTGGACTGCGATGATCATACTATGTATGGGAGCAGAGCAGGGATAGGTTGGTGGCTGGTGGTGAGTCTGCAGCTGGCAGACGGAGCTGATATATTAGGATGTTTTGTTGTTTTAGCTGCTTGGTGTAGTAGCATTTGATGTATTTTGTACACTTTAACTCTATCCAGACTTGGACCTTGTATATGTATATATTCTAGACCCTATATGTATACACTTGTTCCTTTCTGTGTGGTGTTTCTAGTGTGTTGTGCAGTGTGTAGTGACCATCTGGGTCGTTACAAAAATTACTGATATAAATGATTTTACATTTATATTTTTTAATTAAAGACTAAAATTTAATTATTATTTTGAACATAAAATTATAATTAAAGATATCACTTTATCATTAATATGCATTGACCCGGCAAGAAGGAGTTTTACCCCTAATTGTTAAAAATAAAATAAAAAATTCGGTCCAGTTACATATAATTATTAATTCTCTTTGGTTGAATATAAATTTTAGTCGTGCTAGTATATTGCGAATTATGCATTAGGAAAAGATAAATGTTTATAAAATTATATTAATGATAAATAATTGTTTTTTAATGGATAAATATATTATGATTGAAATCTGTAAATAAATAATTTTAAATATATAAATCATATTTTAAATTTATGATAAAAATTATATTGTGATACCAATTTATTTTTAGCTATTTATATTTTTGTTAAAAAAATAGTGAAATTTAATTCTTAAATGAACATGTAAAGGATAAATTGAAAGAAATAAGAGGTTATTTTTTTTAAATGTTTCTTTTCAAAATAAGTTATTCTAGTCTATATGGAGAGATAATATTTTAGATTTGCAATATATGATTTATATTGTAATATAAAATTATTTTTAATTATTAATAATTTATTTAAAAATAAATAAAATTCTTAAAAATACTCTCGTAAAAGTTAGAATTCTAAATTTCCTATCATATAAAAATAATTCTATTCAATATAACTATTTTAAATTATATATGGAAAAGATATTTTAGTAATGTTTATAGTTCATATGTAAAAAATCCAATTATTTAGTTGTCAGTTGAAGAAAAATATTTCATTTTCTTTGCCAAAATGACAATGAAATTTTAATCTAAAATATTATACAAATTATTAATTTTTTATTAATAAAAATGGGATGACATCTATTGTAAACAGGAAATTATAGTTAGTAGAACTACTAAATCTTTTAAGTCCACTGAATTAGGTTAAAGAATATTAATATCCTTATGCAAACTTATATTAATTATTGTAATAAACTAATTAATACCTTCCAAAATTAGGAATGACGAAGTGGGAATCGGGATATTACTATCAATTAGATGAGTATGAAAGATCAAATATTATTGTTCAAAGTGATTTTAAGTTGTAAATTTCAAAAAACTAAAAACTACAACTAAAATTTATTTTTTAAAATTAATTATTCTATTTTTAGTTTTAAAAAATAGCTAAAAATATATTTTTGTAGTAATAGTTGTTATAATGATAGTAACAACAATAATAATAATGACGATAGTTGTAGTAATAATATGATATAGTGATTGTGGTTGTAACAATGATAATAATGATGATAGAGTAGTGATAATGATAACTATGATAATGATGTCAAAGTGAATGTTAGTATGATGATAACAATGAAAGAGTCATTGTTAAATGTAGTGAGAACATGCATTTTTAAAATTAAACAAATTAAATTTATTTATTTTTTAAATTGAATGTTACAAAATAATTTTAAATTTGAGCAAACTAAATTATGCTTTATTTTATTGAGATGAGACAAATTTATTATATTGAGATATTCTAGGTAGGGTTGATTAAAAAATATTTTTTAGTTAGTTATTTAACAATTAATCTATAATCTTAACATTTAACCAACAAGTTGTTGGTATAAATAGTGTGAAATTTGTTTCTTTAAATAAAATCTCGAATTTAAGTCTTAAGTACAAAAATAATATAATTGAGAAGATAAATTTTATTAAAAGTTCCATTAAAGATTAGTCACCAATTTCACTTATAATACGTGATCGAATATCATGATTAATAAATCAAAACTAATCTTAAATTCCTTTACAATTCACCAATCCTTAACATTTTATAATTAGATCAAAATTACACACACACAAACACAATATATATATATATATATATAAT